GGGAGCACTGAAAAAGTATTTTTAATTTTATATTTGCCATTTAAAAAAAGATACTTCGAAGTAATCACCATGGAGCAGTCTCAGTGTTATTGGACTGCCTTATACTGGTTTTGCAGTTGTATACTTTTGTTATTAAGAAAAGAAAAATCCAAACCTACAGAGAAGATTTAAGAATAGTACAGTCAATCCCTTTAGGTCCTTCACCTGGATTTACCAGTTGTCAACATTTTGCCACATTCGCTTTCTCTCCCTCTATATATGTTACATATCTATATCTACATACACATAGACACATATATATACATGTGTAATTATATACACATATTTTAATGGTTACTTTTATTTTGCTGAACCATTTGAGAATAAGTTGAAGACACTGTGAGCTTTCATCCCTAAACACTTCAGCAGGTACTGCCTGAGAACAAGGACATTCTCTTACATAACCACAATTATCCAATCCAGGAAATTTAATATTGACACAATGCTATTATGTAATATACAGTCCATATTCAAATGTTGACATTCATCCCATTACTGCAGGTTGCGAGTTGCTTTTATCTTAACCGTTCATTGGCAGGAGGAGATGGCGGGGGTGTTCGGAGGTGGCAGTCTCACTGCGTAGGGCCCCGAGACCTGCACCCGCTTCTAGGTTTCTACCTGCTGGTCCTCCCCTAGAGCGCCCTCGCCTAGTCAGTGATGACCGCTGAGGGGGCTGGCGCTTGGGTATGCTGTATTCATTTGCTGTGACAGTTAAATAAAGGAGCAAGTCACATAGATTATTTCACAATATGGACATTTAATATAAGGATATGTTTCATTTTCAAAGACTTAAAAATTGTTAGGTGGATTCTTATCCTCCCGTACAGAACTGAGCCCGTCCGCCTGTATTGCTGAGTTTTTAACTATATACCTGGCCCTTTGAGTAGAGAGAATGATCCTCAATTAAAGCTGCAAATCAGCTCACTGCCTTAGCACCAGGGGGCAGAGTCGGGCTTGCTGAGATGCCCGAGTGGGGACTTTCCTAACCGGCGTCGCAAAGCTCCAGGCCCAGTGTTGTCTGTTAGTGTTTTAATCATTTCCCTCCTGATAGAAAACGTGCTCACTACTGAGAAGTCAGTAATTAGCTCATCCTGATCTATCCACATAGTTAAACCCCTGACTTCTGCGTTGCCCTTTTCCTGAGGTTGATAGACGTTTGCTGTTTCTCTAATGATAGGAAAATAGAAACCTCCTGTCAACCTCATCAAGATGTACTTGCTAAATCCTGAGGGACCAGCTTGTTTTCCCCTTAGAATGTTCTGTGTTCACAAATAAAGTGTCTTTGTGCATTATCACGAATTTGTGTAAGACTGCTTTGCCTTAGAGTATTTATAAGACGTTAATGGATTAAAGAACCGGGGATGTAGATAGGATGCTAATACTGGTTATCGCTTGGTAGGAACTGGTTCAGCAAATCGGTTTAAATTGCCTCTCCAAGCTGAAAAAAGAGGTGGTTGCGTAAGGACAAGGATTATAAAGAGATTATGGTCTATTTAAAATAAATCCTCAGCCTCTCTCCAACCTCATTAGCAATTAGCAAGGAAGTGTGAAGACGGATTCTTTTCTCTTCCCTTGGTTCTCCATTGTGTTGTAAGAGGTTAGAGCACAATTAGGCATTCTGTTGCCACCAGAAGTCAACTTCCTTTGATGCTTGGCAGTCTGCCAGCTTCTTTGGCTTTGCTGGACTG